CTGGAATAGAAGTGAAAAACATTACATACTTCGCATAGATACAAGTGCTACAATTATTATATCTATATTAAATATGAGAAAGAACCATTCATGCTCGCCTACAATTGTTTCTCGCTTTATGCCAGTTCTCTTTTTTTTTTTCCCTTTCATATTTTTTATATTGTTCTTTTTCTTGTTCTTATTTAATATCGTGTTGTCAACATTGTCGACATTTCAATGTAACAAACAAAATATCTAAAGAATAGAAGAGAAAAAAAAATCTATGTGTTTTCCACTAGGACATGTTTTGCATGTATCTATAAGTCGAATGAAACAATCTAAAAAAAGGTTTTTTTTTTTTTTTTTTTCTTCTCTTCTGTCAATTACAACTAATAGGTTGACGAACACGTATATACATACATCAAATTTGGTGGAGTAGGTGTAGTTGTCCCTTTCTTTTCTTCTCTTGTACACATTCTTTCTTTTCACTTTTTTTTTCTCATGCTCTTTATGCACACATGCATATATGAAAACACTTAAACGGTCAGACTATGAGACACGAATAAGAAATGAACGGTTTACTGATGTAGTTGAATGGCACTGAACTAGTAGTCATCATGTTGAAAAATAATTCACAATGTGAACTATTGAATGACAAATGTCATTTATTGCATGAACAGACAAAAAAAAAAAGAAGCGAATATATGACGCCGTTTATATATAGGTATATATATATATATATGTATATGTTGAGAATGATCAATCATGAGATATTACATCATATAAAATGAAAGCTAGGAAAAAAACACATTATTTGATATTAATTGACAATATTCTATATGTACTATTCGATAACAATCTATATTGACAAAAAAAACTTACTCCATCAGCACCAGTATTGTCTCTTGTTGCTGATGATGAAGAAGGTTGATTGAGCTTAACAATATTTGTTTTAGGATATTGAGTAGATGCTGACATTTTGCTAGAAATAATTTTGTATTCTTGGATTTTTTTTCTTTTATTAAACTGTTGAAATTAGACGTACTGTTCACCAAGTCATGGATATATTTTAATATAAATGGGATATATATCTAATAAATAATAGTTATCCCATTTGATAAAAGATCTCATAATCTACAAAAAATGAATTGATGAAATGATAAATTCAAATTACTTAAGAAAAAAGAATCATTGAATTTTTGTTTTTTATTCTCATTCTTCTCATCTTGTTCGTCAATGATGAAAACATATATACATGCTTATTGTACAGGTGTCCGCCATCTTGAGTATATGACTCTGCACCTCTCGAATGTCATACACAGGTGTTTAGCAATATAATAAATGTAGCAAACAAATGATAAAATAAATTCATTTAAAAAATAATTTTTATGTTTATTTGAAGGGAAAATTTAAATGACAAAAAATATCAATGAAAATTATTTTATTAATTAAATTAGATGATAGATGACGCTAGTTTGTTGCCTTTCTTTAATAAAAATTTTAGATTATGAATCTCTATAGCAGAAAACAAACCATAGTATCGATTACAATAAACATAAATTATTTATTAAGAGTTAAATGAAAGAAGATTCCTATAGGAAAGCTTTCGATTTACAACAAATGAAAAGATTTGACTTTCTAACTGAGAAAAAAAAGTCTAATTTTAGTGTAGAAGTCTTTGTAGGATTATTGTCTTATAGTTTTTTACAAGGACATAACTCAATACATCGGATTCATACTGATACTCGATTAGCTCCTAGTGAGCCATCAAAATAAGTCTCAGATGGTTTTCTTCTTAAAGTATTTCTTAAAAGAGATCATCTCATGAACATACAATGACTCCTATTGATGTTGGCCCTTTCTAAGTTATGGAGATGATAGACATTCGACATGAAAGTATGTCTTGTATGTTGATAGGAAAAGTCGGTTTTCATGTTCACTATTGTTTAGGATTTGTTCAAAATGTGTAAATAATCATCTATTGTCTTTTCCCTGCCAACTGTTATATATTGTTTGTTGGTTTTTTCCTGCTCTCTTGTACATATATATCTAACATGAGCCCTGCGGAGTTAAATTTTTGTGACTGGCATATACAATGGCTAGGAAATAGCTCATATAGATTTAATTTCGTTTCATTTCCGTTATAGTAACTCACATGTAGAATCCGAATAGTGACTTGAATAGAGAAAATTGTCTTCAAGAAGTATTTAAGGGAGATAAAGTATTAACAATATTCCTCAAATCTGGGAGCTGGTGAAAACTCAAAACCTAGTTTTCCAGCACACAGAATCCGAAAATAAAAGCTTTTTTTGATTACATGGAGCGCCAGGGCAACTAATTGACACGTCTCCAAGCTCGTCACGAGATTTTTTGACTACATTACATAAATTTTAAAGGAACATAAAAAATATTTTTTGTCTAGTTTTTCTTTAGGAAATGGAGAAAAATCTATTTTAGGGCGCTGCTTACTATTGATTTAGTTCCATCAAAAAACGTCGCAAAGAACACAGAACAGTCTTATTTCATAGGGAATCAGTTGCTCTATTACTCTGTGTAATCAAATAGCAATTTTTTTCAAACTCTGTGTACTGAAAAAACAAGGTTTTGAATTTTCTAGAGATCCTGAGTTTTGAGAAAACTATAAAGACTTTATTTCTCTTAAATCCTTGTTGGGAACAATTTTCTCTATTCAATTTACTACTTAAATTCTTTACACAAGATATTATTACGGGGAAAAAAATCGAAAGTAAATCTATATGGTCAGTTTTTGGAATCACTGTATATTTCTGTTTGTGCTATTTGTTAATAACTATTTCTCTTTGATTTGTTTTCCTTGAAGCTTATGTATATGAAGTATGCACTTGTTGGTATGTCAGAGTAAAAATACTTGACTGTTTTACTGATGTAACTCCGACTCTGACGAAGCCGGAGTGGGATTCAGTTTTTGGAATCTGATGTAAGGCTCTAATATGTAATGCATATATGGACTTGTGCTTTTCTGTCATATATATTAGTGATTTTTCCTATTGTTGTTATTTTATAAATGCACACGCACGTCTTCTCATCAGGGAACACTCGTGCTCTATTGTTCTTCTTACTTTCTGCTTCTATCTTTACAAAGTTATTGGTATTAATAAACCGACCTCATGATCACAAAATGCATAACACTTACCACTATTAAACTTTCTTTTCCTTTTTTTTTTGTTACAAAATATACCTTTAAAAAAGACCTTGACGCATTGAATATGTTATGAAAATGTTAGCCTTGATTCTTACTAAAAAGAGATGTTATTGGTTAATTTGATTTTCTTTTTAATTTAAAATTCATACGAAATTTAAAAAAAAAATCTACTATTTCTTCCTTGATTACTAGAGTGAGTACTATGTAAGTAAGGAACGATTGGGAAAATGTGTTTTATCAATTCTCATTTACGTAGAATTCTTCTAACAATACTAGTTTTTAAAAATACAATCATTCATTTCAAGGTTATATCAGCTTAAATAAATCTATTTGTACATGAAATTGTCAATTGTTGATGAATATACTTATAGTATATCGAAAGTAGTGATAGATGCAAAATCAATACTGTGTAGAAAAGTTGAGTACATTTTCTGTTTTATTCATTCTTCACATGATTACAGAAATGAGACCTTAAATTTCGGTTCTCAATCTCTTGGGCTTTACAATTCATTGGAGAAAATTCAATTCAATAAGTAGTCTACTTAATCAATAAGCATTAGCAGTCTGACGCGAAGATCATTGGCTTAATCATTGATGACACAGAAGAAGTACCCAAGCAGTATATCGAAACTCTAGAATCTGACTCTTGAGTCAGATGATGATGCCATATTGCCAGTCTGTACTTGAGAAAATTTTCTCTACATATGCGCCGATAGGAAGAATAGTGCTTTATATTTCCCCCATATTCCATTATTCTTCAACAAGTATAATAATAATAATAAAATTTCGATAAGAACTGTTTGTTATGATCTATGACGATGATGTTAAAGCTTATTTCAACGAAAAAACAAGCCGAGTTGATACATTCTGAATAACTTTCGATAGAGTCAAGATAGAGAGTTACGCCTTTCACCTTTAGAAAGAGCATATGAAAATGCATCGAATTGTAAATTACCGATTTTTCATCTGGTTTTCTCAGAATTTTCAATTATCAGGTGCGTTATTTCAGCTGTCCATTGAAGACTTAAAAAATTGTGCAACGCTCAGATGTTTAGATTTCATCATTTACGAGTTGTAGAAGTATTCAACTTGCAATTCGAAGTCACTTTTTCTAATAATTCCTGTTTAAAAAATCACTTTATTATCTTTTCGCTTTGATACAATATCATTTTTCGGCATTGTGTTTGAAAATTGATCGAAGAAAACACTCAGACAACATATTAGAAAAGCCAATAGAACACGATTCAGTACATTTTCATCTCCTCTTTCTGATGGTAAAAAGCACAGTTCCATATCTTGGTTCTATCAAAAGTTATTCAAAATACTTAAGAGACGGTCCATGAGAAAATCGAACATTTTTCAAAAGTATGGTCCTATTGAAAAATGTTCGACTTTCTCGTGCACCATCTCTTAAAAGTCTCATTTAAAACAAGCATCAATGAACTACATTTTTAATTGATATTGCCATGTCGCTCATTGATTTTTGATGATTTCTTTTTAATAAAAATCGTTTTAAAGGAATACTTCTAGTTTATTTTGTTTGTTGTATAACAGTGACAAATATTCGATGAATTCAAAAAAACAAAAAAAAAAAAAGAAAAATACCCTTTCGAACTTTGACACTTCGATCACAGAAAAAGAAAATAAAACTGATTGATGATAAGAATCAAGGAAAAACAAAATCATTATGTGATGTCATATAAACTTGTTCCTGTTTAAAATACTTAGTTCTCAACAAAATGATTTTTTTTTTTTGTATCATAGAATACTTCTTTCTTGATTCATTTAACTTTTTTGTATTTCTTTTATTGAAACCACAATTATCGTTATGCATATCTTCTCATACCCATGATGTCCATCCTTCATAAAGTGTTGCTAAATTTTCGATATCTGTTGCTTCACGAATAGTATAACGAACCTATTAAGATAAATTTTTGTAAAATATTTTTAATCGAAAAATTTTTCTTTTATACTTGTTCACTAATAGAACTTTGAATTAATGGATCAGGATCTGAACCATCAAGTTTATCACGAATTCGTTTACAGATTTCAACAGCATATTTATTCCGTTCTTCAGTAACTAAAAATTAGTATTTTATTGATAAAAATAAAAAATAAGATATATTTACCTTTTGTTGTTTTATCTGTAGTTTCATGTTGTGTACTATTATTTACTGTTGATGAACTTGTTCTTTCACGATTTTCTATTAAATATAAAATAATCTTCAAATTTAATTTAGAAGAAAAAAAAAACCTATGCTTACCATTATCAATAGTTGGATTTAATTGAATTAAATCATCAAAAACTCTTTAAAAAAAAAATTCAAAAATATTATTTTTTTAATAATTTTAATGAAAAGAATATTTTCTAGGATGATTGTTTTTTTTTCTTTACTTAATTTTAATTGTTAGAATTCGTTTCATTTTTATTATAAGTACATCATATTTCATTGAACTATTTGTATCAATATGAAGTGTATGTTTAACAACAGTATGACATAATTCAAGAAATTCACGATGAATATTTGAATAATTTTGTAATGCATGATTTGGAATAATCTTGCAAAAGAAAAAATTGAAATTTTATTTGATAGTTAATTAATAATAATAAAAAAAAACTTACTTTTAGTAAACTTTTTAATACAGATGATATATCTTTGAAAATAGTATTATGTTGAGACATATGTTCTTTTAATTCACTTATTAAATGACTTGTTTCATCCTATTTAAAAGAAAATCAAATATAATTATTAAATTTCTTTAAAGTCAAGATAGATGTTGGATCTGACAGAGGAAGTCCTCCAACTGATCCGTCGAGACTATGTACATTGTATAGATTCAAATGAATTATGAATATCCTGAAAAAAGTTCTTGTCCTTAGCTTTTTAGATACTGCACTTTTAGGGAATGTTTTTGTTAAATGAATGTCATAGTCGAGAAAAGTAGATTTTCGACTTGAAACTTTGTATAATGACAGACCTTCACGAACTTGTGAATATTTCTATCTTTGGATACAACTATGATACAAGCGTATCTTTTACATCGTTCATATAAATCAGTAGATTTGATGTTCTTATTTCAAGATAGAAACAAATCAAAAGATCTGAAATTATTCTCGTTAAGGACTGTCCCTGTGCAAAATTTCAGGTCGAAATTCGAAAATCAAGTTTTTTATTACCACGACATTGATTTATAAAATAGTATTTCAGTACGAATAAACTTAGAACCTGAGCTTTTCCAAGACGAATGTTGTAGAAATTTGGATCCTTCCACACAGACACGTTAGAAATGGTTTATCACCAGATATGTGCAGGACCGAAATTCTGAAATTTGCCGGAACTAGAACCACGTCGAAGAGACTTTGATCACCAGAACCGGGACCAGAACCATCAGAAAAGAAGCTATCACGATTAGGACTAGACCACATTTATCAAAGCTATGGCCGAGATTGATGGAAAAAGTTCCCGGGATCACAAAACTTGGTCTCGCACATCTAGACCGCAACAGACGTAACCATGGGAACGTTACAGACTGTGTATCAATAATGTCTCGTTATAATCTACAAAACACTTCCTTATTGGATTGAAGTAAAAGGATGATAATGAAATATGTCTCAGAATAGATAGAATAAAACAATCTTCCTGTATTTGGCAATAGCAACTGTATCATATTTCACATAATAATTCCGAAACGATTGTACTAATAGTTATTTTTTTTTGTTGTAGGAAACAAATCTTTCTATTTCTAGAATAGGATTATCTTAAGATTGATATCTATTACATATAAATAAAATACATACACGACGATTTTCAAGTTCTCTTTCTTCTTTAATTCGACTTCGTTTATGTTTCATACATTCATTTTCTGCTTGTTCAATTAATGATGGAAGATTTTGTAATGTTATTTGTTTTAAATTTTCAACCGGCTAAATCAAAAAATAATAATTTGAAAATTTTAGAAACAAAAAAAAAGTCAGAATAAAAAAAATTTACAGGAAATTCTAAAATTGCTTGTTCAACAATAGTAAAATTTGATTCAATATTATGTTTTAATTGACAAATTTCAAAACCTCTGAAATGTAAAAATAAAATAAAATAAATAAGAATTTTGATAATTTTTACTTTTCTGCAAATGTTCTTGCATGTATAATTAAATCTCGTTGTAATTTTATTTGTTCTTCATATTGTTCAAAAAGAAGCCATGATTGAAGAATTTTAACAAGATGTGAACACAGTTGTTTATCATTCTAAATAATAAAAATTTGAATGAAAAAAACAAAAAAAAAGAAAATTTTTTTTTCTTTATATACATCGATTTGATTAGTACGTTCTTTTTGTCGAATTTCAAATTTATCAAGTACATCTTGAACTAATGGATTAGCACCAGCAGCCCATCGTAATCGTTGAATAACTGTTTGTTCAAGATTAGTCATTTTATCAATAATCATTGTAGATATACTATCATTAATAGTTAATATATTTTGATCCTTTAATAATAAAAATATAATTACAACTGAATTATTATTATTTTGTTTTTTTTTTAATGAGAAATAAAAATTACCGTTGTTAATTCTTCATATATTGTTTGTCGTTGTTGATCTTTATTCTTTGAATTAAGTAAATAAAAATTTTTCCAACGATATGCTAATAATTGCATTTCATTTGTATGTTTACGTATTTGTAATATATCTAATGAAGTTTTTATGTGTCTAGAAAACAAAAACAAAAAAATCATATGAAATTTTATTAATTAAAAAAACAAAAATGAATTTTTATTTACTCAGCATTATTATAATTTTGCCATATACCATTTATTTGTGCTAAAATTTGTTGAAGATCAGTTAATTGATTTGTTGGTGTTATTAAACAATTATTATTAATAAAATCTTGAAATTGATTATCTGTTTGAATAAGGTTATTTTCAAGAATAGTTTGAGATGATGGAATTAATGAAAATATTAAATAACTTGTTGCAAGAGAAGGTAAATCAACAAGCTAAAAAAAAAGGAAAACATATATAAGACAATTTATGATATTGTTAACAAATTATAGATGATTGTTGTATTGTATAATCTGTTGGAGGCGAGACTATGTGTATCATGTAGACTCAAATTAGTTTTAAATATCCTGAAAAGAGTTCTTGTCCTTAGATTTTTAGACGCTGCACTTTTTGGAGGATGTTTATTAAATGAACGAGAAAAAGTGGATTTTCGAGTTTCGATTTGAAAGTTTGTATAGAGACAGACCTTAACGAGAGTAGTTTGAATAAAAAACACACTTTTACTATAGATGTATCTTAAGCTAGGGACAACGAAAAATTCATAATAGATTACTATCGCTAAGGTAGTTTGTGTGCAAAGTTTCAAGTGTGAAATGCGAAAATCATTTTTTCTAGTGTCCCTAAGGCAGACCATGATATTCATTTAAAAACTATTGTAAAAGTATAATATTTCGACAGCAATAAGCTAAGGATCTAAACTATTTTCAGAGTATTCACAGTTCATTTAGTTCTACATAATGGACATAGTCTTGACTCAAAAGCGATCTATCAATTAGGAGACTTTCCTCGTTAGACTTAAGGCTTGTATACACAAAGACTAAGGATAATTAATTCCCTACTGGATTGGTAGATTAATTTATAATTTTAGCCTCAGTTATCCTTTTGAATGAAATCTTGACTAAAAAATATTGTCATCAGTTGATTTACAAGTACTCGATGATATTCCAAAAGTGACTCATAAGAGAATCTCTTCTAGTGTCAAATCGCTTTTCGACCAAGACGCGATGTTCATTTGATGAGTAACAGAAATCTCTAGAATGATTTGCATTCGAGATATCGAAATTTTACTAAGTTTTCCAACGAAATACTATGAACATGAAAGTTTTAACTTCAAACTTTGCACAAACAAAGAGATTAGTTCATTCAGCAAGTTGTAACTTTTCTAGTGTCTCCTGTCCTGAGATATTTAGAGTGATTTTCCACGTGATCAAAGCTTTTTATTAAAAAATGCAGCAAATATTTCGATATCTCAAGAACAAATCATTCTAGAGATTTCCGTTACTCATCAAATAAATATCGTCTCGGTAGAAAATTGATTTGACACATGGGCAGACAGATTCTCTCGTCAGTTCACTACAATAGTTATTCGTACATATCTAACTGACAGTAATGTTTGTGATTTATGCAAATGCAATATCAGAACTCTATCATTATTGGTGTAGAATACTTAACATTTCTCTACAATCAACGATCACCAATCTTCTTACTATTTCCTAAACTATATCTTAAGGTCAAACTAATCTATTGTAAAATATTTAATACTACCATTAAGTAACGTCGAGAATCAAAATGTACCACATCTTTGAAACATGAGACAGATATTAAATCACATAACTGATGATCATATCCTGTTTGTTTGCTCTTTTCTTTTCTTTTTTTTTAAAAACATGTAAAATCATATTTTCGATTTACTTACATATTGAACAATATAAAGAATAATAAATTGTTTAATTATATTACTAAGATCATTATCTTTTGTTATTTGTGATTTAAGATCTATGTAATAAAATAAAATATATTGAAAAATTTCATTTGAAATTTTTTATTTTACTATCAAATGTTTGTGAATGATCAATAATTAATTGACAAACTTGTCGCATTGTTGCAATTTTACTCATAGCAAAAAAATTTATTAAAAATTGTCGATGTACATCATTATCAATATTTGTCTATAATAGATAATCGTATTTATCTTTTCTTTTTATATTTCAAAAAAAAAAAATAGAAAACCTGTTTCCAATCAAATAATGACGATTGTAACCAAACAGAAGGTACGTTCAATGTTTGAAAAAGTATATAAATATTATTAAATTCTTTATCAAGATCATCCAAAGAATTTGATAAATTTAAAAATGTATCGAATATTTCATTTGATGCTAAAACATCGATATAAGATATAAATAATCAAATGATATTATATTATACTTGTTGTCCACGAAGAACGAAGTTGTTGATAAACTGTTTGACATGTATCATCGACTGATGTTGTTGACTATTGAATAAAAAACAAAAAAAACATCAATGATTTCTTTTCCTTTTTTTTTTTCTTGTAATAAATATATATGAAATAACTTACATTTGAATTTGTCATTGGTTGAATTTGTTTGAAAGCATTATTTAATAAATCCATACATAATGTAAGACTAGTCTGTTTTGAACAAGCACCACGAATTAAAGATGAAATTGTAGTCAATTCAAAATTGTTTAATAAATTCTATTCAATTAAATGAAATATTTATTAAGAGAATTTACAATTATATTATTTTCTTCAGAATTAAATTCCACACCCCCATCGACATGAGAACAAATGTGTCATAGATTAAGTCTCGCCTTGAAAAACATGATTTTCTAGAATGCGTCTCATAATATCACTAACCTTTTTCTTTCTGAACAATACTTAGCATTGATTCTGATGAGCAGAGCATTACACAAATCGATAGATGTTCGCAAAAAATTGAAAATCTCAATTTGATGATTGAGTCGATTCTAACCGTTTAAATTTTGTGCAGACAAAAAAAAAGACAAAGACAATAGTTTTGTAGAACAGAAAATTCTCTATCGAAGTCTCTGATGCGTTGAAAAATGCCCTAAGAGGAAGAAGACATTTTATTCCATTTATTATGAACGATCTATCATTCGAAATTACAATGAAATTTTAAGAATTATAATGTCATCATTTGAAGAGAAAAGTTTAGAGATGTTTTATCTATCGTTGATTATAATTCTTTCTGCACAATTGTGAAGTAAAATTTAAAAAGCTCCTAATTTATTACTTTTGAATGGAAACGATGTGCATTATGTAGATCCAAATTAACTATGGTTATCCTAAAAACAGTTCAGATCCTTAAATTATTTCTGCCGAGATACTGCACATTTACTATATTTTTTAAATGAATGCTGTAGTAATAGATAAAGTGATTTTCAAACTTCGCATAGGGACAGGTCTTTTGAATTGCTTCTATCATAAAATACAAGCATAAAATCTATCGGTTTATATGACTAATGTCAATCCGTACGCAAAGTTTCAAGTTGAAATTCGAAACTAAGTTTATCTGTTATCATGGCATTCATTTAAAAATAGAGTAAATATGTCATATCTCCGCAGAAATAAGCTAAGGGCATGAATCATTTTCAGGATATTCATAATTCATTTGAGTCTACATAATACACATCGTCTCGATCCAAAAGTGATTTAAATCATTGGAGAACTTTCTTCGTAAGATAATTTAAACAAATGAATATTTAATATTCAATTGAGCATGTCTAGAATATGTAGACGACCTCTTTTTGTCTTTATTTTTATCTTATATTCAATTTTCTGCCTATGTAACATTACCGTTTTACTCATAATATACTATACATTGAATCGTTTCGAATCTTATAATAATAATTCCTTATAGAATAAACTTTCTATTTCATTCTGTATAGACGAACATCTACTTTTATAATAAATATAAGACTACAAACCTTTAATAATCGAAAGATATTTTCTAAATTGCTAATTAATTTGACTATAGTATCAATAAGTGAAGAATTTGATGACTAAAACAAATAGAAAAAAATTTTTTTTTTCTTCTTCATATTGAATTTTAATTTACCATTGTTATAGTATTTTGTTGAATAATTGAAGCAAGATAAGAAGTATTACTAATAAGTGTATAAATTTCATTAATAAATGTATCATTATTGATATCTGTTATTGATGAATGATTAAGAATATTTCTTGCTGTATCACTCATTTGACGACAATGTTGCCATCGATCAAATAACATAAATATAATTGTATTACGATAATTTGTATATTCATTATTATCTAAATCTAATATTTAAAAAAAACAAAAAAGAAAAGAAATAATTAATTAAATTAATGATTCTTTTATTTACTTTGAAGTTTTGTATCAAGTAAATTTTTATAAATTGTAATATCTGCAGATGATTGATTAATAAATATTTGTAATTCAGATGTCTATATGAAATAAATTTTTTTAAAATAAAAGATAAAAACAAAAAACAAAAAACAAAATTTGTTTTTTTTTTTTGTCATTTAAATATTTTTACTTTAGTTATTTCTTGATTTATACTTTGATTATATTCATTAAATTGATTATCAATTGATAATGTTCGATTTATTAATTCTAAACGTAATGGAGATTTTTCATCAATTAGAAAATATGTGTCGATATGATTTAAAAATTCTTGACATCTATTTAATAGATAGAAATATATGTGAGAAACACAAAGAATATAAGACAGAAATTTTACTTTTCTGTTGTAAAATTATTACAAAGTTCATTTAAATGATTTTTAAGTTTAGTTAATAATGATGATTGAATATAATCAATAGGTAAATATTGACAAAGATCAACAAGATTTTTTAAAACACTAGTAATTGTTGGTTGTCGTGCTGTTCGATAAACTTTTAAAGCATTTCGTAATTCATCATCTAATTGTTCACTCTAGAAAAATAAATATTATTATTTAATTAAGATATATATATATATATACATTCGAAGAAGAGATGAATAGGAGTGTCTTAAGGACACCTTCGTTTATTTTTTTTGGTTTTTGAAGGGTGTACAATGGATTCGCATGAAATTTTTACCATAGATAAGAGTACTTAAAATAAGGGGACTCATGTTCGAGGAAACAAATTTTAAACAAGATTTTCATAGGCCTGCTTACGACTCCTATCTAACTTTGTTCGAATTTTGATCACAGATACTTGGAAGTACTCTCCAGGCGTGAACTCGGCTATTTTAGTTTTTGATCTTTCTATTCGGATATATAGAGCTTTGAATGTTAGTACTTCGGTTTTGAATTCGAATCATTTCTCTTATACAAAAAAAAACAAAGCCAGATTTTTGAAAAATCTTAAAATCACTTTTGACGAAGGAACCTTCCGAAGTGCTAAAAAGCTTTTGAGTTCAAATTTTGTCTACATGTAGAGAATGGAAAAATTCTAAGATGACATTGGCACAAGTTGCAAATTGGCTGAGATATCGGCTTTTTATTATAATTCTCCTGGAGGACCTCATTTTTCTCGTAAAATCAAAGTTTCGAATTTTGACCCAAAACTTTGTCCACACAAAAAGATCTCTACCAGACTAGCTTACCTATAAAGTTTCAGAATTTTTGAACAAATCATCGCTGAGATATGAATTTTTCAAAATATCCATGTATACCACAATATGCCTACAAAAATGTCTCTATGCTAATATACTCATATCTCAGAGATGATTTGTCTAAAAAATTCTAAAACTTGGTAGGCAAGCGAGTCTGATAGAGACCTTCATGTAGGCAAAAATTCGAAACTTTGATTTTATCGCGAAAATAGGGTCTTGCAGGGAAATTATAATAAAAAGTTGATATCTTAGCCGAATTGCAACTTGTGCCAATATCATCTTAGGATTTTTTCATTCTCTGCGTGGACAAAATTTGAGCTGAATAGCTTTTTAGCACCTCGGAAGGTTTCTTCGTAAGAAGAAGAAACAATATCGCTATCTAGGAAGAGAAAATATACTATAATAGTGGAATCTTTAACAGCTCTTTTCCGGATGCAAACCAATCCGACGGGCTCTACTTTGAGACTTTCTACAAATTGAATAAAGAGAGCTGAGACATCTCATTTTGCTCTATCAAATAAAATCGTTTTCAAAAAGCATCAAAAGGATACCGAAAAACAGGTTTTAGAGGTCTTGAGGCTTTCCAGACATTCTTATCCAAGCAATTTTATTGAAGGTTTTACATTCATGAATCCCGAGAGAGAATCCTTCCAACTATTCAAATGTTTTTTCAAATTCTTCCTAATTATTATCATCGAGAAGAAAACTCAAAAATCCAACTGTCCTAAATTTATACTGGCCACTAGATACGATCAACTCTGTGAAAAAAGCTAAGTTTTAATTTATATTTAATACCTGATGAAGAAGTGTTGATTTTCCTGCTGTTTGAAGAAAATCTGCAGCAAGAATAACAGGTGATGTACTCATTGAAATATTATCATTTTCAACAAAATCATGAAGTTTATCACAAAATGTTTTTGATTGTAAATCTACATGTGCTTCCTAAGCAAAATAAAAAAGAAGAAGTCGAATAATTCAATCAAAACAAAAAAAACAAAAAATTTCTATTTCAATGTCTTACACTACTATTAATTAAAATACTTTCAAGATTTTGATAAAGTGTTAAAACTAAATCTTTTGCTGTATTCATATCTGTTCGTATTGTTTGTAATTTTTTTCGTCTAAATTAAAAATGTTATTTTTTTTGTTTTATGAACAAAAAAAAATTTTACCTATCAAGTAATGAAAATAATGAATGATTTGTTGATGAACTTTCTAATGTTGTTTTAAAATAATCTAAACGTTTTTCCATAATACTCATTTTAATATCATGTTCATTAATATTTTTTTCTAATTCATTTATATCATTAACACGTTGAATTAATTTATTCATTGTACGATTAATTGATTCACTAAAATATTTTTCTTTTTCTTTTTCTTTTTTTTTCTTGTTTTTTTTGTTTACTCACCCTAAAGTAATCCAATTTTGTCGTATTTCAATTTTACGAAGATGAAACATTCGTAATAATGAATCTTTTTCAATTTGACGTTTTTTAATTGCTATTTGTTCAAATAAATTATTTTGACCACCATAAAATGCTGCAAGTACACCTGTATCATGACCAGTCCAATCAATTAATGGATCATAAATAAATGATTCAAGTAAATTAAGTAAAATTTCTTTTCTATTACGTAATATTTGAAGAACATTTTCTGATGATAATGAAAAAACACCTTCAATTCCAGCAGTACCAAGTGCATTTTGTAAATTTTGTGTTAAACGATATGGAACTTTTTCTGGTACACGTAATTTTTTACCTTTTTCAAAACAAATATTATAATCAATATGAATTATCTAAATAAAATATTTAAAAACAAAAAGAAAAAATTCAATTTAAAAATGTTCTTAGTTTTTTTTTCTTACTTGACCAGATTTTAAATCAACAAGAACATTATCAAGATGACGATCACCTAAACCAATCATATATCCAATCATTGATGTTACAGCTAATGAACGACTAAAATTTAAAACACAATATAAGTAGTTAATACATCGTAATGAATCATTATTGATATACGGTTTGTGATGGTCTTTGGAGTAGGGAGCTGCGGGTTCGGACTCGAAAAAAAGGTTAAAATTTAGATCCGAGCTCGGTCGGAACCAAGCTCCTTTGTGTACATGAACAAGTGAAAGATCAAGATTTTAGCTATTTATGCGCTATGTAATCAGACCCGACAAAAATAAAAGGTTGGATCAGGGCCCGAAGCCTTCTACTCTCGAGACCGTCTGTGGAAGGATTCAAATTTCTACTCTATATACTTGAATATTTGTTTTAGATCGTATATCACAAAATTAGTATAATCTGTATTTATTTCAAGTAGAAACTATTGCATACAAAAATTTGAACAATATACGATCAACTTTGAAAATATTGTCATTCAAAAAAGATAATATCATGCTCAAAGGATCGTTTTTTTCTATTCTGTTAGATTTTCTACTATTTATATACTGAATTTTTGTGAAACACGATCTAAAAGCAATGTTAAAGTATAGAGCAGAATAAGAACTTTTTTTCACTTGAAATGATAACCACCATTTCAGCTCATATTAGGTTCACAATGAAATGTTAGTAAGACTAGAACAATTCTAAAAGAATTTGTATCCACGGATCTCTGAAGCTGAATCATGATCATTTCACTAAATTTTCGATTCAACTTTAACTATTTAATTACAACATTTCGATCTGAAATTTCGCCCATAAACAGGTTGAATGATTATGAAAATTCAATATCTTGACAAAGGAACAGTTTTTTTTTCGACTGAAACTTTTAGAATATTCTACTAGTCATTTGATTTGCTTATGAACAAAATTTTAGATTGAAATTTCATTATTTGATTTTTGCAGTATAATGATCATAACTCAACTTCAAAGGTCTATGGCTTTTCTATTCATACTGAGATCTTCATATTAAAAGAAATGTATACCTATAATTTTGAACATTTTTATACCATAAACCAACACTTGGACAACTACACCAAAGTTCACTAAATATACAAAAAAACATAAAATAAAATGCTAGTAAAAACAAAAAGTCTAACCGTGATAAAAGATCTGCTGGTGTTTCACGTATTAATTCTTCAATACATTGACGTAATATTGGCATTGGTACTTCACGTCGATCTTCTACAGGTTGTTTACCCTAAAAACATAGAAATATTAAAAATAAAAGATAAAAAAATTTATTTATTTATTTATTTATTTTTCTATTTTACTTTTTCTTTTAATATAGCATTTAATTTTGAATAATAAACATCATTTGGTTTTTGTACTGTAGCTAAAGTAATTTCTTGATTTTCATTCTTAAATTAAAATAAAATTTTTTTTTTGTTTTTTTAAATTTCAAATATAAATTCTAAAAACAAACTTGAGCTTTCCAAGTTTGTGCTGTTGCTTGTCGTTGTTGCCATCGTTTATAAAGTGTAAATAATGGTGTTGCACCTTCAACCCATTGTATTAAACCACTTCTTGATGCAAGTGGTATAACAGTATAATTTCTAGCTTCATATGACCATGGTTCATTACGATTTATTTTTGTAAACATAACATTTATTATTGATAATAATTGCATAATACGTTCATCTAAATGAAGATCTTCAAGACCTTTTAATAAATATTGATAACGACGACCATTTGATCCAACAAACATTAATTTTTTTGGACGAGTTTTTGTTGGTAATACTTGAACAGTTTGACCAACACTATGAATTGTATGAAACTATTAATACAAAAGTTGATTTGTCTACATATATAAATAAAAAAGTTTTTTTTTTTTTCTTTTCAAACCTGTCCATCTTCGCCTGGAATTGGTATAACACTATGTTTAATTTGTGCTAATTTTGGACTTATTTGATTCATAGCATGAATTGTACCTGATCGTTTACCAGTACGATGTAACATTGAATAAAGCTAAAATAATTTAAATTTTAAAATAAGAAAAATTTAATTTAAATATTTATTTATATACCTGTCGAAGTTGTAACCAACATGAATGTGGATTAGATAATATAATAGGTTGTTTTAATTGTTCAATAGCTGCATCAATTTGTTTACTATAATCTTTTTGAAATGTTTGTTCACGTGGTGTTTCAGCAGGTGAACGAGTTATTTGACTAACTGCTTCAAGAACGGTTATAAACTGAATAAAGAAAAGATTTTAAAATATAAATAAAAAGAAATTATTTAAGATTATATATATAAAAACTTACAGATTTAAATAAAACATCTTGTTTTTCTTTAATTAGAAATTCTTTTTCTTCCTTTGTTAAATGTGTCATAGATTCAAGACGCTGAAGTTCATCTTTAAGGACATCAACACGTCTAAATAAAAGAAAAATGAATCTAATTGTTATAAATTCTTTTCTAATGTACACGATTTCGATTATTACACTATTCATCACATAAGTCAAACTTCTTACAGTCAGAGAGCTACAAGTTCTTTAAGATCTATATCCTGATTTAACATTGAATCAGAACTCTTTCCTCTTTTTTAAGTATAATATCGTTTACATAAATACAACCAAAACTGTACCATACGACTAGTGATCTAAGTGTTACTACTGATTTGATAATGTTTTTTTATTTTGAATCTTATTAAAGAAAAACTTCGGTCGGGATTCATGTCTACACAAAATATGGGCCTGCAACTCCCTATTGAATATCCATATTCGGAATCAGACTGACTCAATTAACGATAAAAAAAAATCAATAAATCAATTCATGAAAAATTTTCATATCATGACAATATATTTTAATTTTTCACATAATTAAAATGATTCTTTCAATTTTGTCGGTATTATTATCTACAGAGTAACTTTTCTTGGTGATATAACCAGATAAGGACTCACGAGGAAACCTCTCCAGGTGTCAAATCTCTTTTTGACAGAGAGACGATATTCAATTGATGAGTATTAGGGAGTAATAGAAAAATCTAGAATGATTTGTTCTTGTAATATCAAAATTTGTACTGATTTTTTTCCAATAAAAAGCTGTGGTTACATGAAAAATCGACTTTCGACTTCATACTTTGCATAAACAAAATTCTCAATAAGATTAGTTCGTTGTACAAGTTATAACTTTTCTAGTATCTCCTCTTCTGAAATGTTCAATAGTCGAAATTCTCTCATACGTAAACGCAAATCTTATTCATTCATTTACGGTGCTACGACAAATCGTTGCAACATTTCATTATGCTAGATATTTTTATATCTGAAGTCAACTTTGTGAAGTATAATCAAAGAGTGTAGATGCGGGTTCCGAGTTTAGAAGGCAGGTCCATGGTTTAGGATTTGGAGTGTTATTGTGAATTTAGACGCAGTTGTAGGATCGTTTTTGACCAAACAACTGGACATATGCAGGTTTGTAAAGAAAAACTTCCTCTAATAGATAATATAGATATTTTTAAGTTCTATTACGTAGTATATAGATCTAGATAGGTGGCACCACCTATCGACAACTCTATAGTACGCAGTAGAACTTGATAATATCAATATCATCTGATAGAGAAAGTCTTTCTTTACAAACCTACATATGCCCCATTATTTGATCAAAATCTTATAAACGCCTTTGAAGTCGAAAGTCAATTTTCCTCGTGACCACAACTTTTTTGTTGAAGAAAATCAGTAAAATTTTGATATCTGGAGAATGAAGATCAGAAAAAACGAAACCATTCTTGATCTCTAACACTCATCAAGTGAATATCATCTTGTTTGAAAAGCGATTTGACACCAGAAGAGATTCCCCTCATCTGCTTAAAAATGGGTTCGAATCTCCTCTAGAAACATTACCACCGGTTCTTCGTCCCCCTACAACTTTTTTTCTGATTACATCCTAATTTTCCTCTGTTGTATTATTTCTTTTCAAACTAACCGACTAATTTCTTCTTGAAGTTGTGCCATTGTTCCTAACCAAAGTTCATCCCATAGAACAGTAACACGTCGTAATTCATGTACAAATAATTTAACTTGTCCAACAACATGTGCATTTGTTTCCGAAAGTACATTATAAATTAATCTAAAACTATTTTGCATAGCTATAACATTTTCTTGTTGTTCAATATCATCATCTTCTTCTTCAACATCTTCATCATCAACGTCATCATCATCATCATCTTCTTCTTCATCATCATCTTCAATATTATCTTGTGATTTTTCATCATCTAATTCATTTGTACTTAAACGTTTTCTTTCATAAATATTTTCATCTCGTGATTTTATTCGTCTCATTTTTGAATCATCAGTTATTCCAACAATAACTGAATAAAGTATTAATTGTGGATAATCTTTTGCTATACGTATTAATAAATTTGTAACATAATCTCGAACAAAACTATCCGGATGATTTAAACGAGAAAATAATTGTGGTATAAGACGTTTCCATGCAACAGTTGGCATATTAATAAGATTTGTTTCAAATATTGTACGTAATTGTTGAGGATAACGTACAAGTACACGCAATAAACGTAATGTAACAAGTACATTTGATGCATCATCATTATTATTAGATTTTTTTTCATTTATATTTCCATATGTATTTGTATTACTTAATTGTAAATATGTAAAATAAGCACGACAAGATTGTTCTAAAAGAAAATAACGACGTAAATCAAATTGTGGATGTAATGCAAGTAATTGTTCAATTAATATTGGATGTTTTGTAAGTAATGAACAAGTACGTGATAAATCAGTACGATATGAATGAAGTGAAGATAATTCAGAAGCAGTCTAAATTTAAAAAACAAAAGTTTTTTCTTTAAAAATAATTTCAATTGAAGAAAATTAAATTTTACAAGTTCAGAATCATCATCATTTAAAATTCGAATTGATGATAATATACGAGATACTTCAGTTATTTCATCGGATGAAACTTCCTAAAATAAAATAATTAAATCAATGATTAATTAACTTTTAAAAATAAAAATTATTGGTTTTAGACTTATTTGAAAGCTAAAGAATCTTATCGTGAAATTAATCTTTGACATAGAACATCAAAGGAATCGAAAACAAAAAATTATTACAACAGCGCCTATAGAATCAGACTTAGAACCGGTCGAACTTTTTTTTCAATCTGTGGATCTAAATGAATCAACTATAATCTACTTGAGAAAAAGTTTATTCGTACAGCTTCGTAAAGACATACAAGATGAAACTCATATAATTGCTAGAATTTCTAATAGTAACAGCTTCTATTTTAGTGTATCGAATTCCACATACGCTAATACTAACCAAAGAATTACCTGAGCTGATACTCGCTGTTTGAGCTCATATCGGATGCTCAAGGAGGTCTTGGTAAGACTAGAAAAATCCTAAAAGGATTCGTATACATGGGTGGTCCGCAGTCGAGTCGCCATGGCTGAGTGACTACTTTGTTCGACATGTATTCACGAGGTGTTGTGTGCAAATCTCAATACCACTGGCCATAAAATAGGAATCTGCAAAATGGCTCTGATTCTGCCGAGATCGAGATCGAAAGTTTGATTTTTACCGGAACCGAAACTTATAGCTTTCCAAGCTAGTCTCGGGGCATTTTTTTTTATCAAGAATTATACTACATTTTCACGCTTTATAAATATCCATAACAAAGAGATACATTTATTTTCTCAAAATCTCATGATTGTTTAACTTATTGAATGAGTATCCGAATTTTTCAAAGACAACTTATGAATGACGAGTTAATTCTATCTGAAATTTTTCAATTCTCAAATTTCGCTATTGCCTACGTCAATAGATGATATCACTTTCGTCGTGACGCTATCTATTAACATATCCATGGTACGCAGTAGGATCTGATAACACATACACCATTTTGATAGAGAAAGTCTATCTCTGTAAGTCTACATATAATCCGTTCTATGATCAGAATCTTATAGTCTCCTTTGATAAAATTTTGTTTTTTTCAAATATAAAATCAAATGAACAAACCGCTGGAAGAATTGTACGAACTTGTTGTCCCATATCCAATGAAGATAATCTAATAGAAAGAAGAAAATTTTCGAAAAAAAAATCGTTTGAATATATTAACTACATACGGTATAGATCGAGCAAGTAATTGTCTACCCCAAGTATAAGCCCAATCAGCAAATCTAAACCATGATTTAGCTAAAGTTGGACAAGTTAATGTTGAAAAATCTAATAATTCTCCAATTAATAATTCATCAAGAGGAATATTTTTTCGAACAAAAGGTTCTAAAACAAAAGACATATGAATTTGTATTTTTCTTTCTATTGAAAAAATGTATATATTCAAATAAACAAACCTCCAGCAATATCAATACCAATTCCAGTAAGAAGATATTGTTTTCGTAATTGAAATAATTTTCCAAGTGACATAACATTTGTTGTTGTTGTTTCATGATTACTTTCAATTGCACTACGTGACCATTTAGCAATATGTAATAAATTTCTTGAACATTTTTCAATATTAATTAATGAACGTTGATTGTTATACGAAGGATTAATTTGACTTTCATTAATTAAATGTCGTAAAATAGAACGTGAAAGAAATTCAATAGCTATTGTTATATTTACATTATTAGCTTTATTTAATGATAGAGCATGCATTAATTTTCCTGTTTCTGTTTCAAGTTCAATAGAAACCATATGAGTATTTTGATAACGTTCAATCATTGTTAAAAGTGAAGCAAGTGAATAAGTTTCAATTGATGATATATCAGAATGAAATGAACGTAATGGTGATCCTAATGATGTATTACTAGATTGTGATGTTGATGGACCTGTTGACCATGTATGAGTTGATTGAAATTGTTGAATAAGTAATTTTGAAGCTAATGTAAAATTATTTTGTTGACGTGCTAATCGTGCTGCACCCATTCGAAGAGCTGTCCAATTAGAATTTAGAGCTGATGATGCACCTGTAGATATACAAATTTTAGTATATTATATCAAACTAATTATCGAATTATTTAAACATAGAAAATTTGTTGTTTGCAAAACTAAATTACTGAAGAAATGAATTTGCAAAAAAGTTTGAACGCAGCTATATTAGTGGCATAACCGAACGATAGTGGCTCAGCTTGCCTTGTAAGAAATTGAGTTCCGCTTAAAAAGAGACTTGAGCTTCCTCTAGAAACATTGATGGAGAGCGCAACTTCAAGTCAGTTTCTAAAAACATCAACAAGAGCAATCGGTAAAGAAATTTTTCAAAATGGCTTTGGAGTCCAGACTATGAATACATTCACAGTCTTGTTAAGACTTTTTCGTATGCAGTTTTTCAAGTCGAAATTCGAAAATTCATTTTCCTAGGAGTCCATAACATTCGTTTAAAAAAACCTATAAAAAAAAGCAATACCTCCACAGGAATACGCTAGGAGTCCGAACTCTTTTCAGGGTATTTATAATTCAGACTTAAAAGTAACTAATCAGTTGAAGGACTTCTCTCATGAGCATTTTATATGGCGAAAAATGACATGGGACTGGGGACCCAAAAAAAGTTTAAAATTTGGATCTGGATCGAAAATTGAGTTTTTTTCCATCAATACCTGGCACCCTTCGTGTACATGAGCAAGAATCAAGGTTTTAGCTATTTATTCGCTACTCTCAAAGAAAAGAAATTCAACATACATTTATATCTTATTGCTGTATTTCTCATCTGCGGAGCAACAGGTCTCCAAAAATGCTTAACCGGACCCGACAAAAAAACATAAAAACTTTGTATTCGAGTCCGAGTCTGGAGGGACTCACAGTTTCCTACATGGAACAATTTACAATTCGATCAACTTTTAAACTTTTGTATCATTCTAGAAGATGGATTGTTTATAATGCTTAATGTATAAATTATCAGGAGATGAATAGACCATTTCACATCACCATTATTTGTACTGTGACACAATATAAGAATGAATCGATCAAAGCAAAAAAAAAACCATTACTTTAAAAATTATTTAAACGTCTTGCTATTCAAAAGATCGAATAATACTTTTGATATTCTATGTCTGAAAACGATTTAAAATGACAATGATATATTTACTTTGATTATTAAAACTTGATTGACTGTAAAGAAGAATAGAATTCAATGCTCGTACACCATGTTGAACAGGTGCAAATTTTTGACCTGGTAAAAGTGGAACTTCACGATTCTAAAAAATAAAACTCATCATAAAAATAAAATTCAATTTTATATTTAATCTTACTTCACTTTGATATAAAGCTGCAACTTGACTAATAGCTGCTCTTTCTTCTGACCATGATGCATGTTCATCAACATTATGAATTCGTGTTAAATCTTGTGTTAATTGAAGTACTGCATTGAGTGACCAAAGGCCCGATCTTTGAAAAACAAAAAAAAGAACTACAAAATTTTATTTAATATCATTTATCTTTTTTTTACCTTCGTTTTGATACTCCTTTTAATGTTTCAACAGTTGCTAACATATCAAATGCTTCCATATCCCAACCACAAGAAATACTTCGACCAAGGTCTTCACCAGTTGCTTGAGAATTTGGCATTTTTCTCATAGCTACTTTTAAACCTTCAAAATCTCGATTTTCAAAACAACTCATTGCTCTATTAAAAATAAATAAATAAATAAATTTTTGACACATAAAATTTCATTTCTTACCGAATAGCGTTTATATCAATAGTTGTTTCCATAGCTTTACGTAAATCATCATTATCATCTTGTAAAAAAGCCATTTGCATTTTAATACATGCATCATTCCATGCAATTAATTCAGGCCATTGATGAAGACTTAAATAACAATCATAAACCTAATAAATAAAAATATTATTTTCTTTTTTTTTTTTTTGTTTTATTTCAATAATACTTTTTGTGTTAAAAATTTTACAAGTCCATTTGATATTTTATCATCTTTTGTTTCATTTGATATTGAAAGATTTTTAAAATGTTCATTTAATAATAATTTATATTCATAAGCTGCTTGTTCTAGATTGCCAGCAGCTTCATGTTCACATGCTCGTATCCATGACCAATCAAGTTGATGAATATTTTTTAACCATATATAAATTCCATGAATAGCCATACTATTATGAAGTTTAATAAGTGATTGAACAAATGATATTATTACAAATTCAAATTCTATTGCCTTAATAATAGAATAAAGAAAAAAAATATAATAACGAAACAGATTAATTGTAATAAATATATTTTTTTAAATCATGTACTATTCATATATTCATTTATATATCAAAAGTAATTGACACAATTCCTGCAAGGATTAAAATGTGAAATACGATGTAGCTGATCACAGAAAGATTGCTTTATTCTATCTATTTTCGGATACATTTCTCCGCTATCCTTTTATTTAATTCTCTATAAATATAATCAGGAAGTAGTTCATATGTTATAATGAGACGTTGTGTATATACGATCTATGATGGCATATGGCGATCATTGATCGGAGATGTCCATCGCGGCTGAAAACTTGCCGCTGCCGCGATGGTTTCTAAAAAAATATTTTGAATTTCACTGCTGCGACTGTATTGGACCAGAAATATTGGTACTAGTCCATCAGATTCATTCAGTTTCCGAGTGTTTCATTTGTAAGCATTGAAATTCTATCGAATTCATGCAGTTTTTCAATGTTTTCGAAAAAAATACGGCCGCTACCTCTTTTGATATATGAATGAATATTTTGTACGAATTTAAATGAGATGAAAATTACATTTACATTTAATTCGATTCATTATGATCGATTCGTTATTTAATAAAAAAAAATGTTACCTCAGCTTGACCTAATGAACAAACATGCATTAAATATTGATTACAATTTCGTACAGCTGATTCATATTGTCCACTTCGTACAGCTGTTAAAATAATTGGTATACGAATACGATTAAGCCATTCAAAACATGTTGATTTATTTGTAATAAAAAAAAATTTCACAGTCTAGAAAAAGAAATTATTGAAATACAAAAAGAAAAAAAACTCAAAATTTTTACCTTAGGTAATTGTGGAAGTGACAGAGCTGCTCCTTCATATGCATTGTACATACATTTTTCAAGTGCTTCAATTAATTGTAATAAAAGACCACAACGATGTAAATCACACCACCAATCACCTTTATCTATTGAAATATTGATTTCACTTGATGATGATGATGTTAATGGAGGATTTATTGTTGATGATGGTGTTGAAGAACGATTTGTTTGTTCTGATGAAGATGTTTCTAGTTTTTTCGTATTATTATCAATTGGCCAAGCAAAAAAACGTAAAGTTTCTAAATTAACAATGTTATTTGTTATAATTATCTATGTTTGTGTTTATTTCGAAGGTCAATAAGTACGATATTTTCGGTAGTGAAATGTACAAATTATCTCATGAAATCATCAAAATACGCACAAGTCAAAAATATAGTTTAGAAGGAAATACAAGATACTCTTTATCGGTTTTCGTATTCGATGATTAGCGCATCCTATATATTTCTTCGGCTACTAGAAAATCAAAATTTTCGGACTCAGACTCAGCCATGTGCGAAGCGAATCCGACGGACTCTACACTATAAGCACATTTATTTGAATAATATTAATTTACCTTCTAGTGCTAGAAATGTTTCTTGTGGTTTTCCAAGTGATGTTTTTAATTTATTCATAACACAAAATTGTGCACATTCCCATATAGCCCAAAACCATATCTAAGATTGAAGAAGAGACAAAAAACAAAATGAAAATTTTTTTTTCTTTCATCTATATATAAAAATTTTTTGTAAAAATCAAACCAATGCATCATTTCCAAAATTTGGTAATTGTTCATAACTTAATAAACGATGATGATCTTCAGATAAATATTCTTCTTTTGAGCATCCATTATTACTTTTACGTTGACATGATTGAAATAAACGTTCAAGCCATGTAGTTGCATACATTCGTCTAATAAAAAAAAAAATATATAGAAATTCAAATATTAAAAAAAAAAAAAAGAAAAAATTGAACATACGGCATTTGATGATTAACAAGTATATAACCTAATATTAAATTAAAACAATGTGTTGTAAATGTTCCTAAATATGGCGTATTCATATGATTTCGTTTAACAATACTGGCAAAACCAGAATAATCATTTTTTGATGATAATAATGTACCATGTGTTGGAAATTTACTAAACAAAAAAACAAAATATTTATTAATGTCTTCATTAATTTAAATTCTTATTCTACCTAGTTAAAATATTAACAGGTAAACAACATAAAATAGCATAATAACTATCATGAATTGATGTTTCATTAGATTGTAACCAAAATCGACATAAATCAAATAGACTGAAAAACCAAAAAAAAAAATTATTTTGTATTTAGAAGAAAAACAAAGATTTTTTTTTAATAGATTAAGCTTACCGAACTAAGAATGATACATCCAGATCACGTTGTCTTTTAACAATTTTATTTAATAAACGACAACATAAATTACAAATTTCTTCTTCATCCGAATAAGCTAAATAATTATTTAGAATTTAGTAAAAGTACCCAAGTGAATGATTACAGCATTCGAAAAACTCTGTTCGGTTATAGTGGTTTTCTGGGGAAATCCAGACATCGTATTCCTACTTCAACCTTCTCAAGTCAATAATTCTAGTGCCTGAATCGATGAATTTGCGGTAGAAAATTCAGAAAAATGGTAGGAATCCGACAGTCGGCTCTGCTTGAAGTTCGAAAAATTCGACCATCGAATTCCTATCATACAAAAATCTTAAGTAATGCATTTATTTATTCAAATAAAAGTTAAGGCCAACCCCTCTCTCAAAAAAGTCACTTCGGTTTTTTTGTAGAAATTTTTGAAGACTTCCATCATTTCCTATTCGAAAAATAAGCTGTTTTTGAAAAAAAGCCAAAAATCTTTTTCGATCGTATCTTCAAGAATTCTCGAAGGAACTTCATTATAATCAATAACTTTTTTTTGTTTGAAAGCTCGTGTTTAGGACTAGCCCCTCTTGTAGCCCTTTTTTATTATCATATAAGAAAACACCTCTATAGAAACAGCGCTATTGTTTTAAGGGTTTTTTTTTCAGTCATTGAACTTGTCATAAATTTCGTGCCATTTGAACGTTCTGGATCTGAGATTGATTTTTGAACGAAGGGCGGCCTTAAATAGTACTGTTTTATGTTAATGTAAAGTCGGCCTCGGAATATACAAAGTAAAGGAAGCCATTTAGGTTATTCTAGAATGTTTTTTTTCTATCTCAATTATCATATTTCCTAAATGATAATTAAAAAATTTTCTACAATCTCGAAATTTTATTTATTAAAATTTAATATAACTAATAATTTCTCTCTTTTATATTTCAGTCAGAGAAAAATTCTATAATAATTTTTTTTCTACCTATATCAATAATAGCATGAGATAGTTTAAGTAAAAGTGGTAAAGTAAGTAAACCATTATCTTCTTGTGGTAGTGCATCAATAATTTCAGCAAGCCAATTTAATACTAATTTTCTAAATAGAAAAAAAAAACCAAAAAAAAAATATTTATTTTTTTGAAATAAATTCTTATACTTTGTATCATGACAACTAAGATGACTATTAACAATAAGACGATGATGAAGTTTAAGTAAATCTTCAAAATTATCTTTTGTTAAACTTGTTAAACTCATTACATTATTTGTATCATTTTGTTTAAATAAATCAGAATTATGAATAAAATGTTCATGTCTAAAAATTCATCTTACAACATTAAAAAAAACAAACAAACAAGATCAATCATTTCAAAATTGATTACTTACGCTGCACAATGGGAATAAAGTGTTTTAAGTACACCATAATGAACAGCTGGATATTGTTGAGCTAATTTGGAATTTGTTAATTGAAGATGTTTAGCAAGTAATTCAAAAAGTGGCGGAGAAAGTGCATACATCTATATTCAATATTTAATAACAAATTATTCAAAAATTTTAAAAACATTGAACTTCTGTGCTTTTTTCAAAGCTAGATATAGAATTTTTTATAAAACTCATAGGTTACGAGTTATGTACGAATCTTTAAATAGTAAAGAATGTCGATTTCAATCTTCTAGTTTTGTAAGTTTGAGAATTAAAGAATTGAAGAAATGTCATTGTGTATCTATTTCCAAAGTTCTCCTTGTTGATAGACAATCTACGAAAAACTAACAATCCGGGTATTATTTTATAGACAAATATTTGTTCTTTGTTTTAATGTAAATCCTAATTCGACGTTGTCTCAAAAATTTCGGACAACTCGTGAAAATAAATTTTGTTTTTATTTTTGTTAACAACTTACTCCAATTAAATTTCCTTTTACATTTCCAATTTGACATAAAGCACTACAATCAAAAATCAGTGCTGCTTCTGCATCATCTTCATTTAAATCACTTGTTAATAATGATCCATTACCAATAATAATTGATTTTTGTTGAAGAACATTTAAAAGTACATTAAAATTTGATGTCATATCAGCTAAAATAGCTTGATAAACTTGTTGAACAACAGGAATACTTTTTATTGTTAAAAGACGATTAAATAATTGTAAAACATCTTGAATAAGCTATTGAAATAAAACAAAAAGAAAAATCAATAAAAATCTTAATAATAAAATAATAGTTTACTGAATTTGAATATAAAAATCGATAAAGCCATATACGTGAATTTAGTGCAAATATTGAATTAGCTAATATTGCACATGAATCATGATTAGCTAAATCAATAACTTTCATAATTAAACGCAATAAATTAATATCTGCTTCATATGGCCATTGTTGTTTTTGAAGATGTATTTGTTGAATAATAAAATCAAATACATCTTTTTGAACTTGTTCATCAAATTGTGAAAATGTTTCTAATAATGTACAAACAGCTATATTAGCATATTTAGCTAAAATACCAAATAATTTATCTTGTTTTATTATAGTTGTTGTATGTAAAATTTTTTGTAACCAATTATCAACATAATCAATAGGAAGTAATGTTGGTGTTGAGGCAAAATTATCGGAAAGTGCACGAAGAACAGTAGCAAAAGCTCTAAAAACAAAAAAAAATTAAATAGAATTTAAACATAGACAACAAACTATTTCTCTGAAACTTCGATTCGAATAATTTTAATATCGTTGCTTTTGATTAATGCGAAAAAAAAATGACGACTATATTTCAAAATTATAATTATGAGTTATATCCAGAGATGTACAGGACAGGGTTTGTTTTGGTTACGATTCCGGTTTAGATAAAACTATTCGAGAATTTATTCATATCACATCTAAAAAAAGTTCTTTAATACTAGTTTTTTGATTTATTTAGTCTACGAGTAGTACCTGTTTGCGTCATCTCTCTTGAATTATGTTCTGATTGATGATTTATAAGATAATTCGCTAAAAACCATAGAATATTTAACATAATCTTTAGTTTCGGGACTGTGACTAAAATTGGTTTCGCACATCATAGATGTCTATCGTGGCAATAACTAAGAAAGGTACCACGACACACTATTAAAAAACCTTGTCACTGCCCCGATGGTATTCAAAAAAATGTTTCGATTTTCAAGACCGTGACCGATTTGAACTAGAACGGATGTAGCTGCCTGACCAGATTTGCTACGTCTTACAGTATCACGTATATGAACACCGAGATTCTGTGCAAATTCATGTATTTTTGAAATTTCTTCCTAAAAACATGCCGCCGACACGATGGTTTTTGAAAAAATCTGCCGCACATCTCTAATCCCATCTCATATGCCTAAAAAGTCAGAACTCTGGGAAAAGATAAAGAGAGATATATTACTTTATTGTCATTCTTATATCTTGTTACAGATGAACAGCTATATTATATTTATGAAATGAAATATCTGTGTTAAGAATCCAAAAAATATATCGTAAGTTTTTTTTTCTCGATGTATCATCTATATTCAAAGGAGTGCGTAATTAAAATTCAACAGCATTTGTAAAATACAATTTGAAAAGAATAGTAAAATTTAGGAGAAGATGACCAGATTCACTGTTTTGGTTACAGATCGTGATTGTCAACATTTAATGAACAGTGTGCAAGTCAATTGGCTTCTTCAATGAAATCAGAAATTATGCTGAATACTTTTAAATAAGAGATTTTTGTTCAGGAAGAACGCTATGATTCAATTCATATTTCGATATAAATTTCCATATTTACCTATATAAAGCAGCAATTTTGTCTGTAAGTGAACTTATATTATCATCATTATTTTGTTCCTGATTGTCAAATTGCTGAAAAACAAAAAAGGAAATAATCAATTTCTATTCATCTAAAACAATCGTTGTTGTTTTCTTTTGTTATGTATTTACTTGAGCATAATTATCAGCATCTTCAATAAAATGATCTAATAAAGTTAATGTTGAATCAATTTGTTCAATCCAAAATGGACGAAATTTATGTAATGCTTGAGCTGTATATTCAAGAATACGATCAGTTGGTAATGGTTCAATATACCAACCGATAAGAATATCCACAATATCCTTTATACAAAAGTAAACAAAACAAAAAAAAAAAGAAATTTATACAAAAAAAAGTATTTCTTCTAATAAAAAATACATACAAGAAAAATTTCTTGAAATACTTGAGGATAAATTCTTGAAAGATCAATAATTGTATCCGTAATAACAATCATTAATGGTGCATGAACAACTGATTCAAGAATTTTTTTTAATTGTTCACTTATATGTTGTATATGATCAGTTAAACATAATATATCATGTTCATTTTGCATACTATCACGAAATGCACTGATAAGTAATTGTTTTTGTATATCATTTTTTCGTACATCATTTAAACGTTCAAATATCCATTCAGCAAATCTTTAACGAAAAAAAAAAAAAAAAGAATCAAATCTATATTCAAAAACAATGTGATTTTATTCTACTTTGGTTCGCCTTCATTTAACATAACATAACCTATTAATCCAATACAATGAACAAGTTCAGATCGAATAGTTTCATGAGATCTTTAAAAAATTTGAAAAAAAATTAAATTCAATGAAAATATGTTGTTTTTTTTAAGAATGAACAAAACCTTTCTTGAAATTGTTCGAATAATACATTGAGTGCTGGTTCAGCTAATTTCATAATAAACTGAATAATATAGAAACAAAAAAACTTATTATAGAAACAATAAAAAAACCGACTTTCATTACTTTGCTACTATCAGGTTTTTCAAGATAGGCTTGAAATTCTTGAATACGTTGAATACGTAAATCAAATGATCGTTCATCACGTATAACTTTTTTTAATAAACGTGCACATTTTGAATCATCATCAAAGATTTTTTGTAAATCGTCAGACATTCCTTCCATATTTTCATCATCAACAGGATTACTCGATTGTGATCGAGGATTATTTCCATGTGATTGACGTATTGAATCATAATAACGATTATTACGAGAGGAATAAGATGACATTATGTTTTTAAAACATCTAGAGAAATATATATATATATATTCTTGCTTTTTTAAAGCTCGTACAATTCTTTTTTGATACAGATGTATAACTGTCTATGTCAAAATTTGCACTGATAAATATATTTTTATTTCGTAAGATGAATTAATACCTAATTTTTTTTCTTCTTTTTTACAACTAGCTACCTATCTGTCTGGTAATGAGAGGAACCAATCGAACATTATCAGTTGATCTTTATACTGATGTTGATTCTATTCGCTAGATAGCGCAATCTATCGGTTAGAAGACATTATTTCAAATTATTCTTAGTTTTTTTGTATTTTCGTATAAATTGAAATCAATCCTTTTCTTTCGATTACGTGTATATATATACAACTGAATTTATGTGTAGTGGTGCAGTACTAATAAGCGCGTACCGAATGAGAAGAAGCTAAGAATTTTAATGCATCTGATTCATATTATTCATCTTATCTTATAGAATAAAAGAAGATTGGAATATATACTTATATCGAACCAAAAGTTTTGACAATTTTATAAACCAGTTAACATTTAAGAGTCTACTACATGCATAAACAATAGAATGCCTTGTCTATAATCCATGTAGAGCCCATCGGGTGCAAGAATTTCTGGATCCGGACTCGGCCGACTCCGAGTATGACGCAATGGGCTCTGAACCCGTGTCGATTGATACGCTTGTTTCTATTTTCATCGTAACTTTGCCGTATATAGCTCAACACATAAACGGATTGTATCATTTCAAAATAATCCGTAGGCGATTATCCAACGCCCATATTTCCTGGCTACGTCACTTGGTTGTATTCACAAAAAACTATCTTCATTAGGGTCTATTTCTATGCAAAGTTTCAAATCGAAATTTAAAAAATTCAGTTTTTCTCGTATTCGAATAGTATACATGAATGAAAATGTATTCAAAATCTATTTTGATGGGCATTTCGTATTCGTCGAAGTATTTTATTTCAACAACAACAACAACAACAACAACAACAAAAAATATACAGAATCCAATATAAGACATAGGTCGGTTTATACGAACAAGCACATATATATTTTTTTAATAGTTTTATATCATCAAACAAATATTTAACAATCTTATAATTTTATTTGTAATAATCGTTCAATTTCATATTGATCATTATTATTCATTTCTAATAAATCTTTTGAATAAATATATAGAAAATTATCATTTAATTCATTTAAAAAAATTTTACTAATAATATCAATAATATCAGACCATGTTTTTTGCTTATTTGATGTCCAATAAAAATGAAATATATCATGTTCAAGTAATTGTAATTGTTTAAGTGTCGGTAAATTTTTATTATTTTCATCTGATATAAGATGAAGAAATTGAGTTGCATATTCTAATACATTATATTTAGTTCGATCGAGTTGTTTACATTTTTCTTCAAATGTTAATAAAGTTTTTGTTCGTTTATAATCCATTGATATATCTTTTGTTTTTCGTTTAGATGGACGAGTCTTTACCAAAAATAAAGAAACAATTAATTTAAGATATTCTTTTCATTTGTTTTTTTTTTTTCAACATACTTTTGTTTTTTCTAGGAAAGAATCAATAGCCCAATCGATACATTGAGACCATTTTTCTGCTTCATTTTTTTTATTTATTGAATATCGTTCAAGCCATTTTTGTTTTATCCATAATAAATGAATTGGACGTGCATAATAAATACATATTTCATTATCATTCCATTCTGATGATAAATCTTGTTTAGCTGTAATAATACGTTTAATATCATCTTTTGGTATAATAAGATGAAAAATTGAACAAATAAATTGTTTTTCATCATTGAAACGATTATTTTTATAAAGATGATCAATATTTAATCCACGATATTTTGTTAAAGATGTATCTGTTGAAAAATGTTTTTCACATTGTATATATAAATCATATCGTTGATTATCATCAAGAATTTTATTACGTTCATTAAATATAAGTTTAATAATAAAATTAAGTAAAAGACATTTATGTCTAGGATATGGTAATTTTCCATTAATACCATTATAATTACAACAAATTCGTTCTTCTTGATTAAAAATTTTTGAATAAGCTTTAAACATAAGATTATCGAAATTTTCTATTGAACGAAGATTACGAATAAGTGAAATAAGATTTGGTTGAATTGAATCATGAAGAAGAGGATAATTAGGTAGAAGATGTTTTGGTGTTAATCGATTTTGAATAATGTCATCTAATGTAACTGATGATAATGAATAAGTTTTTTTAGATGTTGAACTTTTCGAATCAGTTCTAAACAAAACCAAGAAAAAAGAAATGCATAGTCGATTCGATGTATTCGAGAAGTTCTTTTAAATTTAAATTCTCGATTTAACTGTGCATTGAACTAATATATATTAAACTATTTTTAAACTTGTCTTACATAAAGATGATTTGAAAAAATATTCAACAGAATGATTTTAATTTGAAAATAATCAAGTCTCATATTACTTCTCATTGTATTGGATCACATACAAAACCAAAATAGAGTGGCATATTCATTGCTGAGATATTATAAAACAAAAATCACAATGATGCCAATAATATAGACTCTCGTTATTGTTATTTCTTCGGAAGTAAACAGCAATCGTATGTAGAAATAAAATGTTATGGTCGATTAAATTTGTTTCCATCTTACTTTTCATCTTCATTATTTTGTGATACATCCGATATGAATGATGTTGATGTGAATTGTTCATTTGATTCTGTTAGATTTTCTTTCGATGATTCTATAATGAGAAAAAAAACAGATGTTACAAATTTTAAATTTTTCTTTCAATATAGAATATTTCTTTTACTTTGAAAAAACTCATCTGTTGTTAAATTAAATGTATTTGAAAGATTAAGTATTAATTTTTGTGCTTGTGCTAAGAATGTTGTTGTTTGAGTAACTAATTCTTCTCGATGTATTCCATTTAAATATAATTCTGTATCATTATTTTTCTTTACAAATGCATTAACAAGTAATTTAGCAGTTGTTTCAATTGCTGTTAAATTATCAAGAATACCTTGACGATCAATTGAATTATTCATTTATTTATCGAATCCAAAAAGAAAAACAAATTTTTCAAATTCGTTCTATACATTTACTGATTAAAACAAAGAACTCGAAGTAAAAAACAACAAGTGTCATCTTTATTTAATTTATGATTGGTGAATTATAATCAATAGAGGTTTTATCTATCGGGGAAAAAAAAAGAGAAAATAAAATACGTTAAATAAATAACTAATAGCAAGAGAAAAATGATCACATAAATTCGATTAATAAAAAAACAAAATTTTGATTTTTGTTGTCATAATAATTTTACTGCTTTTTATTTAAATGAAAGACATTTTTCACAGGCTCAAAACAAAATTGGAATTAAATAAAACAAAATCACTGTTGAAATAACTAAAAATAACAAATAAATTGAAATTAAAAATAATAAAACAAAAAAAAAAGAGAAAAATTCAAGTTAGTTCGATTTATTGAAATAGACACGGTTCACTAAATCACTGTGTTACTTATTTGATCATCATCAAAACCTTCTAATAAAACATATTCAACATCATCATGTTGATTTGTCGTTAATTTTGATTTAAAACAAAAGCAATTAAACTGTTGAATAATTATTATTATAAAACAAATACTTAAAAGTATTAGAATGAAAAATAATGAAAACATAATGATAGTTTGATGAAAACCATCTAATTGAGAAAATTTATCACGAATTTTATCTATTGGAGCTTTATACCACCAAGTTGAAAAAGTTGATGAAGTTACAAGTGGATGAAGACAAAAACCTTTTAAAAAAAAATTTAAAAAAAAAAAAAAAAAATATGAATAAAATGCTTTTTCTTACCATCCCATATTGATGGACATTGACAACAATCATCAGTAGTTATATTTGATGTACAACAAGATAAACATTGATGAGTAGAAACATTAAGTGACATTGGATACGAACATTGACGACAATACGAACCAGGATATAAACATTCAAGACAATTGTCTGTACATAATTTGCATCCCTTTAATAAAAGAAAATCTTTTGTTTGTTTTGTAAATTATAAAAACTTGAACTTTATGACTTAAATCTTTTCATATATGATTAATTTTCTTATATTAAATATCAAATTATGCTTTAATAGTAGTCGTAAAACGTATATCTTACGAGGGAAGTCATCCAACTAATTGATCGCTTTAGAATCATGTAGGTCCTAATGAACTATGAATAACCTGAAAAGAGGTCGGGTCCTTAACTTATTGCTACCACGAGATCTTGCATTTTTATGTTATTTTTTAGCATAATGCTGTTGGTTTCTCAAGAATACCAGGAAAATTGAGTTTTGAATTTCAACTTGAGACTTTGCATAGAGATACATCTTAACGAGAATAATTTATTGTGAAAGTTTCAGATCTTTTGATTGCTTCTATTCTGAAATAAGAACATTGAAATCTGTCGAATGTTAAAAAAATGCTTTTAATAGCTGTATCTTAGAGTAGAAACAACGAAAAGATCTGCAACTTTCGTAATAAACTATTCTTGTTAAGGTCTGTTTCTGTGCAAAGTTTCAAGTTGAAATTCCCAACTCAATTTACCTGGTGTTCTTGAAGGGACCACGGCATCGTGCTAAAAAGTACCATAAAAATGCAGGATCTCGGTAGCAATAAGCTAAACGCTCAAACTCTTTTCATGGTATTCGTAGCTCATTAGGACTTACATGATGTGCATAGTTTTGACTCAGAAGCGATTTGAAAGTTGAGGACCTTACCTCGTCAGCCATGATGGCTTAATAGAGGACAGAAGTATAGCACGGAGCAGAGGAAAGCCAACCAACAGCCTCTTCAAATATTGCTGTATAATCTATGAATCTCTTGAAGATTTCCTATATATAATATAACACTATTGTTTCATTGTTGATTTTATTTTTTGTTTTTTTTTATGAAGATATCAAAGAAAAAAACCTTAGACTTGATTTCGA